ATAAAAAAAGGTGGAAAATGTTTTTCCACCAAATAGGTGGGACAACAAAATTTAGTTTTTGTGCATCAAAGGATTGTACCTAGAAAAATGCGGAAAACATTTTGTCAGGAAAATTTATGCTATCAAACACCCTTAATTGGATAAAGTTAGAAAATGTTTTCCTTTTCCACCCATTTTTTAGGTTATCAAACGGACCCTTAGTGTTACACATAACAATGTTAAGAGTTGTACTAATTAAATTTGGAAAATTTTATTGAACAGAATTCAAAATAAACACGAGCACTATATTTGGAGTTTGTCATAAAATGAGTCCAAGCCTGACTTTAAAAGGTTTATAAAATTGGAAGCATAATCAAATTAGGTTGGTTCTACATATCAAGTTGATCGTGTACAAGTTTTAGTCAAGTTGATTTAAATTTATCGGCAGTAATTGCAATTTTGAAAAATGAAGAAATAAAACGTTTTTCGTTGTCCCATCTTGAAGGGGAAGATGACAAAAAGGAAGGAGTATGAACATTAATAGAATTGATCACGTGGCCCTACTAAGTAGGATAAAAACTTCTCACATCAGCAGCAAGAAATTTTTATTCTACCCACCGGGGCATTATGAACATTCTTGTTCCTTTGTCACATCAAAAATGAGAAATTTTTATCCTATTCACGAGAGTTGAAGATCAAGAAGTTGGCCCGGACATCTATAGTTAATAAAAAAAAAAAAAGCTAGAACACTTTATTGATTAAGAATCAGATTTATTACGTCACAAGTAATAAATTCTATCAATATTGGAGTAATAAATAGAATGGGTACAAGTATATAACAATAATACCAATTATTTTAACCAATAATTAATGAGTTCATTTTAGTAATGTTCACTCAATTCAGATTCTAAACTGGGCATTCGAGTATTTTTATTTACAACTTAATCATTAAAGTTAAATTTCATTACATTGTCACGTTGTTAGGACTTAGGAGTTACCATTACACAAGTGATGTGGTCATGCTAAGCCCCTGTTTGGTAGATATTAAAATAAGATTTTTAGTAGATTTTGATAAAAGTTAATAAAATGTAATGTTAAAAAGTTGTGGGTTCCATGAAATGTGTGATTAAAATTAATCTTTCACCTACAATATTTGTAAAGCTTACCATATATAAGTTGGTTGAATCAATCATCAAACACCACAAAGTGAATCACGATTGTAAAGCTCACCACATAAGCTGGTTGAATCAATCATCAAATGCCACAAAGTGAATCACAATTCACGCCGAAACTAATTTTGAGCTATCACAAACTGCATGAAAGGTTGTCCGGTAGTTTTCTCACCTCCGTGTAGGGGAACATTGCGTCATAGTGTATCATATGAAAGTTTGTCTTAGCCTACGTAGCTCAGGCAAACCAACAGGCCTCAAAATATCAATATTTGGTAATCCAGGTACAAGGGAGACACCACTGAGGGGGCTTCCCATAGCTTGGGATTGAGCTTCTACTATCATATTGGCTACCTCTTGTTTTGCTCTGTCCATTTCATAAAGAGAAGTTGCCTCAATAGTCCTTGCATTTTGTGTTGCAATTGTTGGGTTTAAAACTTTGACATCCCTTGTTTTCGAGTCGACCGTCTTTGTCAGGTACATGATAGCATCCACTATAGCAGCAGAGGAGTTTTCAATTCCATCTCTTGAAGGCCATAACTCAAACAATGGAGAATCCCAACGATTTCTGCTGTCTGGCCTCTCAAACCTCCTCAAAAGATCTCCAATTATTTTATCATCATAAGCTGACTCCAATTTTTCCCTACGTTCTTCGTTCCATTTTCGACAGTAGGCCTGTTCAACGTCACAATTTTTTTTTTGATAACCGTGGATATCTGGACTAGCTTGGGCGCACCTCAACTAATTCCACAGACCCTAAAGTTTACGGCCGGATAATCACCTCAGTGACCCTGAGGAGATTCGAACTGGTGACCATTGGGAAGCAAACTCAAGGCTTGACCAATTGAGCAACCCCTCAAGGTTATCTTCAACGTCACAATGAAGAACACAATATCTAATTCCAGCTGCACGAGCCAAAGACCATAGCTCGTACCTGTTACCCTTTATGCTGTTTAAGGAATCCACAATGACAATCTCATCTCGTGACAAAGATCTATCAACTTCTGATCTCAGTACTCCCCTTAAATTCTTTTCTGCTATCATGTCAACATAGCTTTGGTTACGATCAAGATGAAAAGAAGATTCATTGATGATTCTAACTGATGGCTTCGTTTCAGATTCTTGAAGAGCTTCAACTAGGGAGGCTGCAGCTCTGACTTCCCACTACAAGGTTGACCACAGATTACAACCCATGCCATCTGCAAAGAAACTGGAAAATATTTGTAGAAGTCTTATCCTAAAAATGTTTTTATAAAGGATGTTACTGAACTTCATCAATGCATTTCCTATATGAAAAGAGTGAAATTTCAATACGCGATAAATGCAACCAAAAATTACTGTAAATCCCATTCTTTCGTAAGTAAAGCAGAAGATACCGGATAGCAGAAACTGAAAAATGAAGCAGCCGGTATTATATAATCACAGTACAGGAAAAATTGGATAGAGTCTAAATTTTAATTGCAAATCCTGTGTTCTTCTCACTTGAAAATCTTCAAGATGCCAAGATTTTTCATTTATGGCATACTATTTTTTTTCTTTTTTTTTGTAAGCAAATAGTGATCTTGCCTCTTCTTCGAGATATGCTACTTCTTATATCTTCTCAAAGCACATTAGAGAACCCTCTAGTAACCCAATGTTTAGTCTCTGTTTATCATTTACGCACGATCCACATCTTACCTTCCACATGAAGTTTTCAATATTAGTTACTATATGTCTATAAAAAGTGAAAAGGAAAATAAAATATCTCAGCTTTTTCTCTTTTCTATTACTACAATTTTATGTTTGTTCACTTCTAGGCCAAGCTTTGGATAAGACATTCCTAGTAATGGTCTGAGGCCTAGATTACCAAAGCCAAAGCCAAATCCATTACCATCATCCTAACCAAATTCATAACCATTATTCTGACTTTTTATACCATAAATAGCTACTCTTGGCTGCAGTATAGCTAATATGTCAATAAGCAGTAGTTAGTGCCAAAATTATATTGCTAACTACTTCTGAGTGATAAAAGCGAGCGAACAATGGTACTATTACTTAACCTACTAATTAGTATCTTTCTTTAAACCTTGTAAAGAAACAAGGTTTTACTATTTGGACATTAACTTTCTCAAATAACAAATATTGTAAAACAAAGGACGGGCATGTTAGAAAGCAATAAATTGGGGCTTTATAATTGGAATACGGAACGATTAAAATCCATTGCTTTCGATAAACACCTTAAATCAAATCTTTGAATACCATATTACAAATTGTCCGTGTTTTTCCCACAAAAGTGACTGTTTTCTAGCGATTCTACACAATCACGCATTTTAGCAAACATTTTATGGGCATACCACTTATAAGTAGATACTCCAATACATAATTAAAACAAAGCAATGAGTTCCCGTTACCTAGAAATCCAATTGCAGCCAACAGCTTACAGCGCCCGCAGAGATAGAGATCGGCAGAAACAGTATAGGCTTCCTTTTCTTCCCTATTCTTGGAAGTGGTGAATTCAAGAGTGGAAATTTAACAACTGCGTTCAGAAATTCACAATGGGCATTTATACAATTACAGCGATTCCAGATCAAAAAGTAGGGGATTGGAGTGGAGGAATTGGTGGC